GTTGACCCATCAGGGAGATCACCTTTGACTTCCGTCGGTCTCTGGCGAACTTCTGCTGGCGAAGCCAGCAGCGTTTTACTTACGCCGTCATCCTTCGAGGGCGAGGTGTCATCGTCTCGACCTCTCGAAAGCAGGGCCCTTCTTGGAACGCCCTAATGGAGGCGTGAACTTCTGTCTGGCATCGGACTGGGCACAACAACTTCCGAACCCCTGACCTTGCCTATATTCGCCAAGATGGAGATTCTCAGATTGCGTCCGCGGTCGTGGGCATCTTCAGGGCCAGGGGGCCCAGACACAGCCTGCTAGAACCTCCACAGGCAATCGACAAGCAAAAACAACTTTTGGGGATTCCTTGGCCGCAGTGGCCCTCACAGTTGTCCGCTGACCAAAGGACTGCACCCCAGCCCCTGACTGCACTAACCGTTGGTGGAGTCAGGGGTCGCTCGACAGCTGACCGCCACCGAATGAACGATGGCGACCAACGTTCGAGACCGACGAAGGAACCCTTTGTGACCAACGATCAAAATCAATAACCTTAGGTAGACTTCGGAAATCCTGGGTACGCCAGTGTTGACCTCTCGTTGGGGTCAACTTTTACTTCAACTGGCTCCCCCGCAACCTTCTGCCAGCTTTCGCTGCTGGAGGCGCCCTAACGGCTCTCGGCGAGGGCGAGAGATCACCCCTTCGATTCCTCGAAGGCGAGACCCTTAGCGTTTTTTTGGCGATGGTGGTCATCAATGGACGGTGGTTACGAGCCATCGGGATGCGCCCCTGGATCCCTCCTACTTCCGGGGGGAGAGTCAGGCTGACCACGAGAAAGAAAGAAACGGATGATGGCTATGAGTAGTAGTAGTAGTAGTAGTAGTAGTAGTAGTTGTCTGCGAAGCCTCCAGTGATAGGTCGTAAGTATGGTTTTGAGTTTCAGATAGTAGTCCTAGTAGTCGTAGTAAGTCGGTAGTAGTCGTTGTAGTAGTAGTAGTAGTAGTAGTAGTAGTAGTAGTAGTAGTAGTAGTAGTAGTAGTAGTAGTAGTAATAGTAGTAGAAATAGTAGTAGTAGTAGTAGTAGTAGTAGTAGTAGTAGTAGTAGTAGTGGTAGTAGTAGTCGTAGTAGTCGTAGTAGTCGTAGTAGTCGTAGTAGTAGTAGTGGTGGTAGTAGCAACAGTAGTAGCAGTAGTAACAATATTATTAGTATTCTTAGCATTATTATCATTAGTAGTACTCATAGCAGTATTAATAGAAATATGAGTATTAGTAATACTATGATTCGTAGTAGTAGTAGTAGTAGTAGTAGTAGTAGTAGTAGTAGTAGTCGTAGTAGTAGTAGTAGTCGTAGCAGTCGTAGTAGTAGTAGTAGTAGTGGTAGTCGTAGTAGTCGTAGTAGTCGTAGTATTAGTTGTAGTAGTAGTAATTAGCAGCAGCAGTAGTAGTAGTAAGTAGTAGTATTGTAGTATAGTAGTATTCGTAGTCCGTATAGTAGTGGTAGTATAGTAAGTAGTAGTATGCGCAAGTAGTAGTAGAGTGGGGTATAGTAACAGTAGTATCATTAGAACAGTATTAATCCGTATCTTGTTATCATTATTAGTACTCATAGCAGGAGCGTATTGGCCGACGTGTTCGTGTTAGAAATGACATTATTCGTAGTAGAAAGTATTCTTAAATATTAATTAGATAGTAAGTTGTGTAAGTCGTAGTCGTTGTGGTAATAATAGAGTAAGTGTGAGTGGAATTAGTAGTCGTAAGTATCGTTTGTAGTAGTAATTCAGTAGTAGTAGTAGTAAGTGAGTGATAGTAGTAATGGTATTTCGTAGTAGGCCGTAGTAGTAGTAGTAGTAGTAGTAGTAGTAGTAGTAGTCGTAGTAGTAGTAGTAGTAGTAGTAGTAGTAGTAGTAGTAGTAGTAGTAGTACGTAGTAGTAGTAGTAGTAGTAGTAGTAGTAGTAGTAGTAGTAGTAGTAGTAGTAGTAGTAGTAGTAGTGTAGTAGTAGTAGTAGAAGTAGTCGTAGTAGTAGTAGTAATAGTAGTAGTAGTAGTAGTAGTAGTTGTAAGGATAATCATAGTAGTAGCAGTGGTGATAGTAGTAGTAGTAGTAGTAGTCGTAGTAGTAGTCGTAGTAGTAGTAGTAGTAGTAGTAGTAGTAGTAATAGTAGTAGAACTAGTAGTAGTAGTAGTAGTAGTCGTCGTAGTAGTAGTAGTAGTCGTCGCAGTAGTAGTAGCAGTAGTAGTAGTTGTAGCAGCAGTAGTAGCAGTAGTAGTAGTCGTCGTCGTCGTCGTCGTAGTAGTAGTAGTAGTAGTAGTCGTAGTAGTAGTAGTAGTAGTCGTAGTAGTAGTAGTAGTAGTAGTAGTAGTATAGTAGTAGCAGTAGCAGTAGCAGTAAGCAGGATTAGTAGTAGTAGTAGTCGTAGTATAGTAGTAGTAGTAGTAGTAAGTAGTAGTAGTAGTAGTAGTATAGTAGTAGTAGTAGTAGTAGTAGTAGTAGTAGTAGTAGTAGTAGTAATAGTAGTAGTAGTATTAGTATTAGTAGTAGTAGTAGTAGTAGTAGTAGTAGTAGTAGTAGTAGTAGTAGTAGTAGTAGTAGTAGTAGTGGTAGCAGTAGTAGTAGTTGGTAGTAGTAGTAGTAGTAGTATAGTAGTAGTAGTAGTAGTAGTAGTAGTAGTAGTAGTAGTAGTAGTAGTAGTAGTAGTAGTAGTAGTAGTAGTAGTACTAGTAGTAGTAGTAGTAGAAATAATAATAATAAGTAGGAGGAGGAGGAGGAGAAGGAGGAGGAGGAGGAGGAGCGTGTCCAGGAGGAGGAGCAAGAGGGTGAGGAGAAGGAAAAGGAGCAGGAGAAATCATCACGCTGGCTGCAGAGAGGCTTGAAAGGGTCAGGTAATTAGGAAGCGGGTTGTAGCTCATTGAAAAGGAAGCTTTCTACACGCGGCTGGTGGGCCGGTGCCAGTGAGGCCATGGGAGGAGGAGGAGGAGGAGCACGATTCTTGACCTCCGAAAGGTGCGCGCCCTCAGGCTGTCTGGTTCCCGCCCGTTCTCCAGCCTCCTCCTCCCCTTCCCTCCCCTTCCTCCCCCTTCCCTCCTCCCTCCCCAGGGGGCCCAAGGCGCGTAGATCCTCTTTTGGCTCAAGCGCGTCATGGGTCCTGCCTCGTCGCCTCATCGTGGCGTGCATGTGGCTACCCACAGCTCTGGTGTCTCCTGAGCCGCGGGTCGGCGAAGGGCGGGGCGAACGTGTCGAGTCAGGTTCCAACAGTTTTCTTGATCGTGGAGCACGTGAACTGGGATGACCGTGGGGGTTTCTAAATGGATAGGGGGGTTACAAGTGGATGCCAAGGTGGGTTATATCTGGCCCAACCTGGCTTATGAGTGGGTTACAAGTGCCCTAAGTAGCTTAGGAGGGGTCGATAGCTCGGCTAAGTGGGCGGAGCCCACCTAGCCCAGATCGTTAACCCCCGTAAGCTACTCAGGGCACTTGTAGTCCACTCATAAGCCAGAGTTGGGTCAGATATAGCCCACCTTGGCATCCACTTGTAGCCCCCCTATCCACTTAGAACCCCCCACGGTCATCCCAGAAGGCGACAGGTCGGGCCAGGTCCATCTCGAGCTGGGCCATTCTCATCTTCAAATCGGTTCCCGCAGCTGTTGTGCCTTGTCCCGCTCGTGTTGGCCACGGACCGTCCTGGGGTGGGCGAGGTGCCGAATGGCCTTTCTCCGAACCCACCTCAGGCCTACGGTCGGGGGCTTGACCTAAGGAACCCCAAATAAGGAACGAGGCTCCTTTTTTCCATGAGGCAGACTTCGATCTCCGATCGAAGACATAAGGAAAACCTGAGGCAAGCTGCGAAACACTTAAGGAACGCGGAGCCCCTCCCCAACGAAAAGGGTTCCTTCTTCAGGGCCCCGACTGTATTTCAAGTATTGGTTTGTGGTAATCAATTTGTGTTGTTTGGTCACTTCGCTCTAATGTTCGCACTTTGCATTTCCACCGTTCCTTTCACGAACCGCTCGGTGTGGCATGTGTGGAGGTGCACCACTTGCACTGGTCACTGTGCGGGCGCCGGATTTCAGATTCCCTGCGTGGCCTGGCGCGGGCGGCTGTTGTGGAGCTACTTAACGCCTGAGGTGGGTGGATTGTGGCTCGGCAGTGAAATTCGGGTGGATCCTGTCTTACCGTTCGCCCGGCCGCTGGTTTCCCAGCGGTGTCAGGAGATATTACTCGTATACTCGGGTCGGCCTGCGCTCTTCACAGTAAAGCTCTGCGCGTGGTGTATTTGAACCTATAAATACATCTTGCGTTCAAAGGCGCGCTATACCATTCAACTTGGTTGTTCATTTTTCCCGTCGCACATCGTGTTGTGGCGTATGTCTTCCTCCTTGTTCGGCAGTCGTCGGGCGCATTATCTCACAGCATTCAGTTGGTATGGTTTGGTGTGACAGTCAGTGTTGTGTCGCGAGGGACCTGGTACCTTTCAGCTCACAGTAAAGGTGAAGTTCACAACCTTGTCAGCGTTGCGAAGCTGTGTATCTCGGGCCTGAGTGTGCAATGGGTTTGTCACAGTTTCGGTTGACATCGCAACACACAATATGGGTGGGATCCTCAGTTTGTCATTTCATGTAGTTCATAAAAGTCCACTGCTGTGGGGCATCCTCGTCTCGTCCGTCTTCTGAGCTGGGGGGGAGGCTTACTCAAATCGAGTACTGGCTTCGCCGCTGGTTCCTACTCCTACTCCTACTATTCCCTCCTCCCTCCTCCATTCTCCCTCCTCCTCCTCCTCCTCCTCCTCCTCCTCCTCCTCCTCTTCCTCCGCCTCCTCCTCCTTCCCCCTCCTCCTTCCCCCTCCTCCTCCTCCTCCTCCTGCCCGTCCTTCGCGCCCCCCTCCTCTTCCTCTTCCTGCTCCTCCTCCCCCTGTCCAACTTCCTCCCCATCATCTCTCTCTCACTCGCTTCCTCCGCTCCTCCTCCTTTCTGCGTCTCCCGTGCTGCCGGCACGCTCGTGGTGCCGGCGATGCCAGGACTCCTGACGGGGGCAGGGCGTGATGAGGAGGGATGAGGGGTGAGAGTGGTGAATCGGAGGATGACGCACAAAAGTAGGACGACGAGGAGAGCAGAAGAGGAAGAGGCACCGCGGAGGGAAGACGGACGAGGGACGGATCAAGGGCGGAGGCGAGAAGATGAGGAATCATGCGGGACCAGGGACGAGTAGGGAGATCAGGAGATGGATGAGCAGGAGGAGGAGGAGGAGGAGGAGGAGGAGGAGGAGGAGGAGGAGGAGGAGGAGGAGGAGGAGGATAATGAGGCGGATGAGGAGGAGGAGGAGGCGGGGGAAGAGGGCGATATCAAGCTCCATCGAAGAAAACATGTACTCGTTCCATCACGGACGCCTGCCACGCTTCGTGTAAGGCCGTCCCCTCATCATATCTTGAAGCCGTGTACTTCTTGAAACGAATACAGCATTTGAAGATCCACACGCCGTAACCCGCCACGGTGCCGCTGGGCATGGAGTGGGCGTGTCCTCAGGTCCTTTGCCGAATTCCTCAATCCTCAGTCACCACTCCTGAGGAGTCTTTTAAAAGGCCTGCACCTCCAATTCACAAATCGCCTGGGCCTTCCAGCGTCCTCTCGGGGCTTGTCGAATGACCGTTTCAGGCCCAAGAAGGCCGCAACACGGACCAAGAGGGCCCCAAGAGGACCACGGTCCAAGCGAAGACGCCCAAGAAACCCCAAAATGGCCCCCAAGAGGCCTCAAAACGGCCCCCAAGAGGCCTCCCGCGACATCCCAACGAGCATCCCAGAGGCCTATGACCCACAACCCAGGCACAGTGGCGGGATGGGCCAAAGGCCATCTTATCCGCCGCCCCCTTTTGATTTATCAAAAGGGTGCCTGGCGTGCCGGATTATATGGCTTTTGGTTTTGGGTCTTTTTCCAAAAGAGCTCTCCCTGGGGCTTCGGCCCGTTCCGCGGGGGTCCCGGGAGGCGCTTCTGGAGGTGGTTGCCGTGGGTTTTCCTGCCCCAGACAGCTCCAAGATGGCTTCCAAGATGCTTCCGAGACGGCCAAGATGGCCTCCAAGACGGCTAAGATGGCCCCAAGATGCCTCCAAGACGGCCCAAGATGCACCCAAGACGGCCTAAGATGGCCTCAAGCTGGCCCAAGACCGTCCAAAAGGCTCCGAGGAGGCCTCCAAGACGGCCCAAAAGGCCTCCAAGAGGTCCTCAAGGAAGGCCCGAAGAGGCCAAAAGTCCTTTGATTTTTCAGAGATTTTGGCATTTCCGCCTTTCCCGCTTTCCGACGGCCCCAGACGGCCCAAGAAGCCCCAAAGATCGCCCCAAGATCGCCTCCAAGAGGGCCCCATGACGGCCCAAGTGGCCTCCAAGACGGCCCCAAGAGGGCCCCAAGACGGCCCAAGAGGCCTCCAACACGCCCAAGATGGCCTCCAAGACGGCCCCGAAGCGCCCCAAGAGGACCCCAAGTCGGCCCAGAGAGGCCCTCCAAACGGCTTCCGACGGCGTCAGACGGGCCAGGAGCCCACCAAGATGACCGAAGTTGGCTCGAAGCTGGCCCAAGACGGCACACGAGGCCTCCACGAGGGCCTCCAGGAAGGCCAGAAGAGGCCAACAACATGAATCTTCCTTAAGTTTTTGAAGGATTTTGACATTTGCTTCCTTTCGGCCTTCCGACGGCCCGAGACGGCCCAAGAGCCCCCAAAGATCGCCCAAAGATCGCCCAAGAGGCCTCCAAGATGGCCCCAGAACGGCCCAAGAGGCCCCCAAGACGGCCCCAAGAGGCCCCCAAGACGGCCCAGGAGACTTGTAAGACGCCCAAGATGGCCTCCAAAACGGTCCTGGAGCATTCCAAGAGGGCCCCAAATCGGCCCAGGGAAGCCCCCCAAACGGCTTCCGACGGCATCACTCGGGCCAGGAGCCCAAGACGGCGCAAGAGGCCTCCAAGAGGGCCTCCAGGAAGCATTTGTTTCTTTTCTGCCTTCCGACGGCCCGAGGTTGCCAAAGAGCCCCCAAAGATCGCCCAAGAGGTCTCCAGTATGGTCCCAAAACGGCCCAAGAGGCCCCCAAGACGACCCAAGAGGCCTCCAAGACGCTCAAGATGTCCTCCAAGACGGCCCTGGAGCATCCCAAGAAAGGCCCAAGTCGGCCCAACCTCGCCCACCGTGTTCCCCGAACGCTTTCCCAACCGATTCGGGGAACACATGGTCCGATAGCTTGGCAGGCCTCTGACCACAACGTTCGGCCACATAAGCGTTTCCAAAAAGGCAGGGGGCGGCGGTGATTCGCCGTAGGCGTCTTCGATCCGCCGCCCCCTGTTGATTCATCGCAAGGGTGCCTGGCGTGCTGGATTTCTTACGTTCTGGTTTTGGTTCTTTTTCTTTTTTAAAAATCCCCCTGGGGCTTCGGCCCGTCCCGCCAATTGCCTGCCCCACCGGCTTCTTCGTTCAAGATGGCCCAATATGGCCTCCAAGGTGCCTCCAAGACGGCCCAGATGGCCACCAAAACAGCTAAGATGGCCTCAAGACGCCTCCAAGACGGCCCAAGATGCACCCATGACGGCCTAAGGTAGCCTCAAGATGGCCCAAGACGGCCTAAGAAGCCTCCAAGAGGCCTCCAAGAGGCCTCCAAGACGGCCCAAGGGGCCTCCAAGAGGTCCCGCAGAAAGGCCCGACAAGGCCCAAAACACTGATGTTCCGTAGGTTTTCGAAGGATTTTGACATTTGCTTCTTTTCTGCCTTCCGACGGCCCGAGATAGCCCAAGAGCCCCCAAAAATCGCCCAAGAGGTCTCCAATATGGTCCCCAAACGGCCCAAGAGGCCCCCAAAACGGCCCCAAGAGGGTCCAAGAGTGCTCCAGAGCTTCCCGGGATGCCTCTTATGTCTTCCTCCTCTTCCTCTCCCTCACTCTCATTTTTCTCCCTTCTTCTCCTTTCGTCTGTTCCTCTTTAAAATGTACTCCGAATGGTTTCCACAACGGTTGGTGGAATGCATGGTCCAACAACTTGGCCACGATCTGACCCAACGTTTATAACGAGAGTTTCGCCTGGGACATCCTGGCACAAGCGAGATGTTGGAGATATGCGAGACAAGATGGCTTCCAATGCGGCTAAGATTGCCAAAGATGGTCCCAAAACTGCCCCAAGACGGCCCGACACATTGCCAAATATGGCCCTCAGGAGGGCCCCAAGACGGGCCCAATACTGTCAAATGTGGACTCCAAGACGGCCGAGCTGTCTCCATGACGGCCAAGAGGTTCCAATAAGCCACCTCTTCCTCCGCGTTCCCCATCTCCTCCTCCTCCCTTTCCCCCCCCCCCTCCCCCGTTCACGCGCCCCCAAGTGTCCCCCGACAGGTTTCCCCGGCGGCTCGGGGAACACGCGCGCGAATACCGCGGTTGCACTCTGCCCCAACGTATGTCCGCATAGGCGTTGGGCGACGCATGAGTCGCCATAGCGAATTCGGGGCACCAGCGCCGATGGCATCTTCAACGTCAGGCGAGCCGGCTGTAATGGAAGAGCAATGTGTTCCCGAATGTGTCCCAAGAGCATATGAACGCAAACCCCCGACGACGCCAAGACGGTCCTGGGAGGCCCTCTGAGCCCCGAACTACCCGACCCTATGTCCCAAGATGGGCGAGAGAAACCAGATCGGCGTCCTCACTTAATTCATTCTCGCCCACGTGTTCCCCGAAACCTGCCCAATCAAACTCGGGGAACATGTTGTCCAGCATCCAGACACCCATCCCCGAAACCTGGCCCAATGAAGCCACAGGGTGCCTCAATAGACGCCCAAGACTTCCTTCCTCCTTCTTTTTCCTCAATCTCCTCCTCCTCCCCGTCCCCCCCCCGCGCGTTCCCCGAAGGCTTTCCAAACCGATTAGGGGAACGCATGGCCCTGGCCACAACGTTCGGCCACGTAGGCGGCGCTGAACCCTTTCGGTTTTGGTTTTGGTTCTTTTCCAAACGAGCTCCCCCTGGCGCTTCGGCCCAGCCCGCCGGGGTCCCGGAAACTACGCATGTCAATGCCTGTCCCGCTCCAAGATGGCCCAAGATGGCCTCCAGGACGGCTCAGATGGCCCGAAATGGCCCTCAAGTTCGCCTAAGATGGTCGAGTATGACCTCCAAGACGGCCCAAGAGCGTCCAAGATGCCTCCGAGTTTGCCCAAGAAGCCTCCAAGACGGCTCAAGATGGCCCCTCAGGGCCCCGGGACGCCTCGCAGACCGCCCAAGAGGCCTCCAACAGTCCTTCAAGAGGTCCCGAAGAGGCCCAAACCATTGATTTCCTTCAAGGTTTTGAAGGATTTTGGCCTTTGCTTCTTTTCGACCTTCCAACGGCTCAAGATGGCCCATGAGGCCCCGAAGATCGCCCCAAGATCGCCCACAAGGCTTCCAAGATGGCCCCATGACGGCCCAAGAGGCCCCCAAGACGATCCCAGGTGGGCCCCAAGACGGCACAAGAGGCCTCCAAGACGCCCAGGATGGCCTCCAAGACGGCCCTGAAGTGCCCAAGAGAGCCCCAAGACGACCAAGAGAGGCCCCCAAAACGGTTTCCGACGGACCAAGAACGCCCCAAGACGGCCAAAGAGGTTCCCAAGAAGCCCCCAAAGGTCCCCAAGAGACCCGAGGAGGCCCCCAAGAGGCCTCCATGAGGCCCTCAGGAAGCTCCCAAGAGGCCCCAAGAGTGCCCCAAGAGGCCTCCATCCCTTCTCCTCCTCCTCCTCCTCCTCCTCCTCCTCCTCCTCATTTGTTTTGCTGATCCTTCCCCTCCTCCTCTTCCTCCCCCACGTGTTCCCCGAAAGCTTTCCACGGCGACTCGGGGAACGCATAATCCGGCAGTTTGGGCAAACTCTGGCCCAACTTTCGGCCCCGTAGGCGCTTCGAAAAAAAAGACAACGCACGACATCCCTCTGAACGGCAGCAACCGTGCAACACTATTCTGCTATGCCGAGACCGTCAAAACCGCTTTCAATGTTTACGACCGCTCGTTGTGTAAGGCCACCCAAATGCTGTTCAATGG